AAACATTAATTTTTATTGTTATAATTAGTATTTTCACGAACGATTTGACTTTATGACGTGACATTCATTTCACCTGATGGTCCAATACGTTAATTACACTAAGACTTTATTCATAAAATACGTAATGTTCCATGGAATATCATCATCACCACCATCATCATCAATTAAATTAATGATTATAATTTCAAATCAGATGTAAAAATACTTAAATTAAAGTGTTAATACTTGAAGGTACATCAATCTGTGACATCACAGTAGAACATCACTCTCTAAACAACGTCCCCAGTAGAAGAAATTAAAATTAAAATTAATAGATACAATAAAACCTGTCTAAACGGACACTTTTAAATATTACTTTTAAGCCATTAAAACATAAAAATTTCAGCTTTTAATAGAGAATTTCATGGATTTTTATGATAACAAACGAAGAATCAACGTTATTGTTTCTATATTTTATATAAATGAAAGCGTTGAATCAAGTGCTTGATGATTTATGAATCTTCTAAGTATTGTCATTGGTATGAAGTGAGTGGTGTATGTACTTTAGTGAGAGGCTTTAATTGGATTCTGGACCACGTTTAATGAGGAAAATGTCATCTGAAAGTCCCCTTCTTTTCATTTTTCATCAACGTATTCAAATTCTTCGAATGTTTCATCGACTTATTCATTATAATTTCCCTTATTTAACGTTTTACATTCCATTATTTTCAACTAATATTAAAAAAAAGGTATATTTATATAATAAATAATTATAAAAAAATAAAATTTATTATAAAATAATATACGTGGGGGTGGTCCGAAATTCGATTAACCGAGATTATTTTGTATTCTTGTAATTTAATTTGTAATTCGTTATTTGGAATAAAGGAATAAATGATGAATAATCAAGCGCGCTGTTATTCGATTTATGAATCACAGGGTGGCCTAGAAGTCAGTTAACTGATATACCCAGTTTAAAACCAGAGCTAGAAAATTCTCGGTTAACCGACTTTTAGGCCGCAATGATCTCTAAACTGAATGCTTATGCACAAACTTTATTTGTGTATAAGCGTATGCACAAAAATAAAACTGCTTATTCGTTGCTCGCAGCGCCAAAAGCACCACGGTGGCGAGTTTCGGTACTGATTTTTAGTACGGTAGTGTCATCCGCGTGTCATGAAATGATGCCATACGCATTTGAAATGCTAAAAACGACGTTAAATAGGGGTAATTTAATTAATGTCATTCAGTATAAGCAGAAATTCCTACAAGAGACATTTTTTTTTTTATTGATTTAAGTAGTAAATTTTATTTTCGTTGTGGTTAGAACGTTAACCCAAAGGGGAGGGAATTTTTTCCATTTTATTTATTTATTTATTTATTTATTTTATTTTTTTGGAAAAAAGTACATCTAGAAAGTAATCCCCGAGGCACACGACAAAGTAACTTTTTTATGTTTATTCTTCTTTATTTTCCTTCTCCTCCTTCATTTTTAAGAGGATAAATCGATTTATTTTTATTTATCCAGCGTAAATTATAAATAATAATATTGTAAATAAAATGGAATTTGATTTTTTTTAAAAAATAAATTTATTTATATTTAAAATCAAATCTTACTCTACTAATGGATCCCAAAACTCACCAGTAAATTGATAAAGTAAAGCAACCAAGAATTAATATACATTTTCCTAAAAAAAACTTATTTTCTAAATACAATCGAACCTCGATTTAACGCCAAATAGTGGCACTAAATCGAGTGTGGAACCAACGAAACGAAAAAAAAAAGTTACGTAGTAATGAGGTTTGCACGTGGTGAGTTTGAAAGGCACGTGATTTGATGATGGCAGTGTCATTTATCATCACAAAATGAGAATTGTACGTTTAATAATTCATACATACTGAAAGGGTTTTCTATTTAATATTTATATAAATCCTTTTGCGAATTTTAGCCCTTTACGAGGACGTTATATCGAGGTTGGAAATAATATAATGTATGCCGTTTTCTTTATGACGAGTATTGTTTTCCTTATTAATCCCTAATAAACATAGAACATAGAAAGTCCTGTAAGAATGGATGACTCCTGGAAAGAAACTATGAAACTTACACCTAGTATTAGTGATATAAAAAAACCCCGTAAACCACACGTATCCGACCCATTGATGAAAATGGCCATACGTATCAAATATGTGAAGAAAACTGAATAAACTCCATTTGGCCATCCCATTGGTAAGGTGCGAACCCGCGACTACCGGTGTGCCTAATCTCTATATGGGCCCTGATTTCTGAAAGACCCTACGGAATTGACAAGAATGTAAATTGTCAATACCTTCAATTCTCCTATTCTTGTGTTTTTCTATAGAATGGGAGGAAAATCCCTTTCTAATTTCAATTCCTCCATTAATTTTCTCCCTATTATAAGTTCGTTACATGAATATTTCGCTTTAAAAGTGAGATAATTTTTTTTTTCTTTTTAATTGAAGCGAAACCCTAGATAAATGATCACGTGATAATTACGATAATCATAAAGGTATACCTGATTGAAACGACACCGCCTAAATTTAAGTGTGACGTTGATGAAATTTCTCCCCTGAGAAAACGGCCATCAAACATGTGGGTGATTAAACCGAACTTTTATGATAAAAATTTAAATAAATCAATAAATCACGGGGGTATGGCTCACTCTTACTCTTTATAACACCAGCCTGTTATCATTCCAATAAAGTTTAATTGTCCATAAACCACACACGAGACGCTTCTCTTATTCTAATTATTTAAAACAGAAACAATGTTTGGGTGCAATGCTCTTGTATTCATTTCATTTAACTACTTTACACAAGAATTTTAGACATTTAACCTCCCCTCCCTGGTCAACGAACGAAGTACAATATGTCTAGAAATATTTAATTTATTCAACGAAAATTTATTAATTAATATACTAGAACCTGTGTTAGGAGGGCCCGAATTAAAATTTTCAAATCTACATCCACTTATAGTACAGTTCTGCGTGTAGTCACAAGTACTGTTTAGTTTTTCTTCATTTGTTTATTTACATTGGGACCCGGGCCCATTGGCCCTTTCCTGATTACGCTACCTTTATGGCCATAAGAAGGCCATGGTTGAAGTCGGCCTTCTTAGGGCCTTATGCCCTAAAAAAAGGTGAAGACGGTCGCAATGGATGAAACTGTGAAGACGGCCGCAAACGAAAGTATATAGGGCCTATATAATAAAGGCCGTTGTTAAGAGGTGGCCGTTGTCTGGGGGTCAAATATGCGATAAACTACTTTGAAAATGATCCACAAAAATAATAATGGCTGCAATTAATGGGAAGCAATTAAAAGTTAGTTTGCAGCATTAGCAGGAGACCTCATAAAAGAGGTGAATAGCTTCAAGGAAGTCTTTTAAGCTTTCATTTTCTATAATAAAATGTAAATAAAAGATTTTATTTTATAACAAAATCTATGCTTAACTAACGCAGAGATAATTATAATTAATAGAAACATCTCAGAAATTGTTTGAATTACCATAAAAATCATAAATTTCTATGTGTTTCTATGGTCTTCATAATTGTAAATTACGAGTGTTGTTTGTGTGAAGGGTGCGATTTTGTTCACCCACTTCGTAGTTTAATAACTCGTATACCTTTGGTCGAAAATTTTTGAAATTTTGCAAGAGGATTTGGGTGTTAGGGGTATTAATGCTGTTAAATTTTGGTAGTTAAAGGTCAAGGGGGTTGGGAGATATAGGGGGTTATGTGTCATGTCGAGTGGAGTCGGAATTAATGATTTTATTCATTATTAGTATTTACAACTTTTCGTTTTTTTTAATATGAAACTTATCTGTACCCTTCAAATTAATGCCCCATTTCATAATAATTAATAATGTAAAAAATTTAAGAATAAAATCTGATAACAGATGGCACCACACGAAATTTTAAATTCGTTTGCCGGAAAAGTTAATCAACTCGTTGCCGGATTTTTTTTTAAGTACTTTTTCATAATAATAATTTCTTATTTAATTGCTAAATATATAATTAATTAATTGTTTATTAAATTGTTAATCATTCTTAAAGTTTTCATTCATAAATTTAATTAAAATTTTTTTTTAAATTAATTTTTTTTTAAACCGATTAATTGAATTTTAAATTCTATTTTGATGCGGATTTAAGAATCACAATGGAGAAAACAGAAGGTAGAAAACAATGGTATGGCATTTCTCAAAAGGCTTTGTGAAATGGAAAAATTTTAATTAATTATGAAGTTTATTAATTGAGAAAACAAGAAGAACAAAAAAAAATCGAAATTTAAATTGTCATAATTGTTTTATATCACTATAAAGGGGTATTTAAGACGTTATATCTACCTTCCTCTCAAGTAAAATACACTATAAAGGGGTATTTAAGACGTTATATCTACCTTCCTCTCAAGTAAAATACACTATAAAGGGGCATTTAAGACGTTATATCTACCTTCCTCTCAAGTAAAGTACACTATAAAGGGGTATTTAAGACGTTATATCTACCTTCCTCTCAAGTAAAGTACACTATAAAGGGGTATTTAAAACGTTATATCTACCTTCCTCTCAAGTAAAGTACACTATAAAGGGGTATTTAAAACGTTATATCTACCTTCCTCTCAAGTAAAATACACTATAAAGGGGTATTTAAGTCTCTACATCTAATTTTCTCTCAAGTAAAAGGAACAAGAAAGGGAATATTTACAATTTTCTCAAGTAGAAGAGACTAAAAAGGGGAAAAGGGAATATTTAAATCGTTATATCCAATTTTCCCACGTTAAAAAACAAAAACTAAAAACACACACTCATTTAAATCACCATAAGAAATACACCCTTAAGTAAAAAAAAAAAAAGGATTTTAAAATCGCAGTAATTACTTCTCCCACCTGAAAAGAGGGGGAGGAGAGAGAAGGGTAGTGTTTAGATCGTCACAACAACTTTACCTTCACGTAAAAGGGGATTAAACACAGCAATTTAAACCAAGCGAGAGATTAGAAAAGGGGGGACATTTTCGAGTTTATAAACAGATTCGACCTTTATTTAATTTCTTCGTAAGTTGAAAACGCTGCCATTCCATTCATAATTTATGCAAATGAGCTCTTCAGTTTACATCGCCAGCCGCAAGATTGTTTAGAGAAGCGGCGGCGGCGGCGGCAGCAGCGGGTCACTCGATCGACTCCACAAGCACGGAGGAAGGGGGAGGGTGGACAAGATTAATAGCCACTCAACGGTGGCTCCCTCTAGCAGACAATCCAGACCCTAGCGGACAGACAGACGTTATCATTGCTTAGTTCCTGTTAGTACCGCGAGGAGGTGCTACAATCGGGATGGCTATCTTGAAGTGTTGTTGTTGGAAATCCGTCAGGAGAGGTAGTTTTGTTAGTGGAATTTATACTTTGGTAAGTTTTATTTAGTGCAATTTTTAATTTAATTCATGGAAAAAAATATTTAAAAAAATACACTAAAACTAAATTTTATTTTCCTCGTCTTAAATAACTTTAGGAATTTCCTCCGTTGTAACACTATTGTGATCGATTTTAAAGCACGGTTGTTAACCTCTGAATAACGGTTTTTTCGAGTTAAAAAAAAGGTTTAAATGCTTTTAAAAGTGAAAAAATTATAATAATTATAAGACTAATAAATAATAAATTAAAATTTCCTCTCACTTCATACGTTAATTCTCACTTTTTCCATCATTTTTCGACACATTCCGCATCACCTCTCGCTTCTCTCTCTTGGAAGAAATATGATATATAATGCTTAAATTTAATAGATTCAAGCGCGAAAAATATAGGCCCTATTAAAGTTTTAATATATATATTTTTTACCTTCGTGGGGTGGACCAAAAAACGGTTAACCGTCGGTAAATCATAAATCTTTGCTCCGTCTCTTCTATGCGCAAACTTTATACCATTAATTACCAGCAACGGGACGTTGTTAAATGTTAACTGACTTTTGACCCAAACTGTATATTAGGATTATGTTTAATTAACATTTAAATATTTTTAATTGTGATTATTTAATTAAGTATAAAACTCGATTAACTGTAAGTCTTGTCGTAAGAAGTGCTGTGTTAATTTATAAAATTCTTATTATTTAAGCATAGTTTATGCAAATTAAAGTAGAAATTCATGGTTTAAATTAATTTAAATTTAAATTTTAATTTTTTAAATTAATTTAAGCGTGTTTTTTGCTGATTTTAACGAAGGAAATTTGTGTGTTTTCATTCACGACTCGGAGGCAATCAATTCTTCAATATTAAAGAAATTTCAATTAGTAAAATTGAAATTTCTTTAATATTGATGAATTTCTTGTTACTTTTTTTTCATTTCTACACTGTTTTATCGCATAAATTAATCATTAATTTATCGAAAAATATATATAAATGTGTAAATTTTACGCTTATTTTTTAATTAAAATTGCTTTAAAAGACATAAATTTTTCATCCCCTCAATCGGATCTTCTTCTTAAACCTGTAAACTACGGACACCTACCGTAACATGAAAAGATGACCTTTGTTTTGGAGGTTATTTTGTATGCTGGCCGCCGTTTACAGGTTACTTCGTACGCATTTTTGTTAGAAAAAGTATATGTTTTAATGCATACAAAATAACCTCCAAACAACGGCCATTTTTCTCAAGAATATTTATTTATTTTTTACCTTGAAATAACAAGAAAATGGTCACTGTTTACAGGTGTCCACTGTTTAGAGGTAATTTTTTTAAGGTATTTTTAGAACGAAAATACATATTCGTGGGAAAAAAATGGGGGTGGTCGTTGTTTGGAGGTTATTTTGTATACATTTTTATTAAAAGAAATGCTCTGAAAAAAAATTTTTGCTGTTAAGACGTGTTCGTTAAAAGAGGTTCTATTGTTAATATTTAAAATATATAAATAAGATATCTCTGTGTTTATTTTAGAAATAAAATAAGTAAAATAATAAAATTAAAATAGGTTTGCTTGCAATTTACGAAAGAAAATTGCTTAAATTTTAAATAAATAATATTTAAAAGTGCAATTTATAAATTTTCTCGTGATTCATTCAAATAAAATCGATTAAAGAAACGAGAGAAGGAAAGGGGGTGGGTGGGTAGGTCAAAAATAACGATCAAATATCAAAATTCATGCAGAGCAATTTGTATAGAGGAATTGCTCAATAAAATATAATGAATATTTAATGTAAAAAATAAAATAAAGCGATAAAAATTTAAAATTAAAGTAAAACCTGTCTAAAGCGGAACCTTGATATAACGGAAAACCTACTAAACGGAAAGAATACTACGGAAACTGCGTGTTAAGAACGAAACCTGTTCAAAACGGAACTTGCCAGACCGGAAAAAAAATTCTTTACCGTGTGGTTTACACAGGTTTTACTGTACTTTAATTAAAATATACAGTAAAACCTGTGTAAACCGCAATTGCGCAGTACTGAATACTTGTTTCCGGTTTGGGCGGTTTCGTTTTGAACAGGTTTTACTGTACAGTCGACCCCCCCATAACACTGTTGATTATTCCGTTTTATATGAATTCCATGTTGTACGAGTCACTTAATTTTACAAATACGTGAGCCGTTCACAGCCCGGTACACGTATTTGTAAAATCTAAGTGACTCGTACAACATGGAATTCATATAAAACGGAATAATCAACAGTGTTATAGGGGGGTCGACTGTACTTTAAATTTTTAATTGTGATTGATTTTAATTAAGTTAAGCCAATTTTGATGGATCATTATCATAATTTTTCAGCGAAGATTATCCTTCGTTTTAGTGAATTTTTAGGATTTATATAATAATAATTATCGTGTAGTAGCTACAATAAGAAGGCCCTATCTATAGTTTAATCCCTAGAGCTAATTTAAGATCTTTCTTATCTTCTTCTTATCATGCGTTACACAAGGGGCATACAATGACTTATACACATATTCTCTTAGGTATTCAAGTGTTCTACAACTTAACCTTCTTTCTTCACATCTCTTATGTGTTCTGTGAAGAGCTGAAGATAGCTGTAATGCTCATGAGACTATCAGAATGAAAGGAAACACCGTTACTAGTTGCATACTTGCAGGAGTTTCTTGACTAAAAGAGATGCAGTTTATTCGAAANAGTGAAAAAATTATAATAATTATAAGACTAATAAATAATAAATTAAAATTTCCTCTCACTTCATACGTTAATTCTCACTTTTTCCATCATTTTTCGACACATTCCGCATCACCTCTCGCTTCTCTCTCTTGGAAGAAATATGATATATAATGCTTAAATTTAATAGATTCAAGCGCGAAAAATATAGGCCCTATTAAAGTTTTAATATATATATATTTTTACCTTCGTGGGGTGGACCAAAAAACGGTTAACCGTCGGTAAATCATAAATCTTTGCTCCGTCTCTTCTATGCGCAAACTTTATACCATTAATTACCAGCAACGGGACGTTGTTAAATGTTAACTGACTTTTGACCCAAACTGTATATTAGGATTATGTTTAATTAACATTTAAATATTTTTAATTGTGATTATTTAATTAAGTATAAAACTCGATTAACTGTAAGTCTTGTCGTAAGAAGTGCTGTGTTAATTTATAAAATTCTTATTATTTAAGCATAGTTTATGCAAATTAAAGTAGAAATTCATGGTTTAAATTAATTTAAATTTAAATTTTAATTTTTTAAATTAATTTAAGCGTGTTTTTTGCTGATTTTAACGAAGGAAATTTGTGTGTTTTCATTCACGACTCGGAGGCAATCAATTCTTCAATATTAAAGAAATTTCAATTAGTAAAATTGAAATTTCTTTAATATTGATGAATTTCTTGTTACTTTTTTTTCATTTCTACACTGTTTTATCGCATAAATTAATCATTAATTTATCGAAAAATATATTTAAATGTGTAAATTTTACGCTTATTTTTTAATTAAAATTGCTTTAAAAGACATAAATTTTTCATCCCCTCAATCGGATCTTCTTCTTAAACCTGTAAACTACGGACACCTACCGTAACATGAAAAGATGACCTTTGTTTTGGAGGTTATTTTGTATGCTGGCCGCCGTTTACAGGTTACTTCGTACGCATTTTTGTTAGAAAAAGTATATGTTTTAATGCATACAAAATAACCTCCAAACAACGGCCATTTTTCTCAAGAATATTTATTTATTTTTTACCTTGAAATAACAAGAAAATGGTCACTGTTTACAGGTGTCCACTGTTTAGAGGTAATTTTTTTAAGGTATTTTTAGAACGAAAATACATATTCGTGGGAAAAAAATGGGGGTGGTCGTTGTTTGGAGGTTATTTTGTATACATTTTTATTAAAAGAAATGCTCTGAAAAAAAATTTTTGCTGTTAAGACGTGTTCGTTAAAAGAGGTTCTATTGTTAATATTTAAAATATATAAATAAGATATCTCTGTGTTTATTTTAGAAATAAAATAAGTAAAATAATAAAATTAAAATAGGTTTGCTTGCAATTTACGAAAGAAAATTGCTTAAATTTTAAATAAATAATATTTAAAAGTGCAATTTATAAATTTTCTCGTGATTCATTCAAATAAAATCGATTAAAGAAACGAGAGAAGGAAAGGGGGTGGGTGGGTAGGTCAAAAATAACGATCAAATATCAAAATTCATGCAGAGCAATTTGTATAGAGGAATTGCTCAATAAAATATAATGAATATTTAATGTAAAAAATAAAATAAAGCGATAAAAATTTAAAATTAAAGTAAAACCTGTCTAAAGCGGAACCTTGATATAACGGAAAACCTACTAAACGGAAAGAATACTACGGAAACTGCGTGTTAAGAACGAAACCTGTTCAAAACGGAACTTGCCAGACCGGAAAAAAAATTCTTTACCGTGTGGTTTACACAGGTTTTACTGTACTTTAATTAAAATATACAGTAAAACCTGTGTAAACCGCAATTGCGCAGTACTGAATACTTGTTTCCGGTTTGGGCGGTTTCGTTTTGAACAGGTTTTACTGTACAGTCGACCCCCCCATAACACTGTTGATTATTCCGTTTTATATGAATTCCATGTTGTACGAGTCACTTAATTTTACAAATACGTGAGCCGTTCACAGCCCGGTACACGTATTTGTAAAATCTAAGTGACTCGTACAACATGGAATTCATATAAAACGGAATAATCAACAGTGTTATAGGGGGGTCGACTGTACTTTAAATTTTTAATTGTGATTGATTTTAATTAAGTTAAGCCAATTTTGATGGATCATTATCATAATTTTTCAGCGAAGATTATCCTTCGTTTTAGTGAATTTTTAGGATTTATATAATAATAATTATCGTGTAGTAGCTACAATAAGAAGGCCCTATCTATAGTTTAATCCCTAGAGCTAATTTAAGATCTTTCTTATCTTCTTCTTATCATGCGTTACACAAGGGG